AGGTGGGGGGCGGGGATTTTTTTTTCTACATTCAGCCCTGCTTCGGACAAGCAGGGCTAAATGTAAAGCAGAGAAGTAATTTTGTACGAGTGATTTCAGCGGCTATACGGCCGCTGAAATCACTTGTATGCAGCCTGCTTGCGAGTTGTCTGGGCACCCTGCCGGCTGCCTTCCCCTGTGCCTTGGATTTTGGGGTCCCCTGCTCTTCTGGAGGACCCGGGCCCAAAGCAATTCAGGATGGAGAGGGGGGCAGCAGAGCGTAGAACCTCCATTCTCCGAACAGTGACACAGGACCGCTGTACTCGTAGCGCTCCTGTGTCAGCTGTCACAACTTGAGCTATACAGAAGAAAGAGCACATGTGTGCTTTATCTTCTGTATTGGAGGGCAGGCTCATAAAGGCCTGGTTCACACCTAGGCGATTCGCGGTAAAAAAAATCGCCCGACAAACGCGAGTTTCCGAGGGCTACTTGGCTGTATCCCAATGCAAACGTGCAACAAAAACGGCCCAAAGTAGTACATGTACCTTTTCAGGCGTGGGCCGTTTTGTAGCGCGTTAGGGACGGGCTGAAATATGCCAAGGTGTGAACCAGACCTATTGAATACAATGGGATTTAGATGTTTGAGCGTTTTGTAGAGCGTTCGTCGAGCGTAGAACGCGCTACAAAACGTTCAGGTGTGAACGAGGCCAAAGAGAGTCTGTCACCTCCGAATTCTATCACACGAGGGCTTGTTAGCCCGTATGATAGCAATAAATGTAAGTGAAAAAAAAAGGAAAAAAAGAATAAAATAAATAACAATGGAAAAATAAAAACTTGATAAAAATTGAAAAATAATAAAATAAAAACTTGATAAAAAGTAAAAAAATAAATAAAATGATTTATAATAATGATTCATCCGCACAGCCCAACCTGCATGGGGTCCCATGATTTCAACTGGTGCTCTGCCTCCTGGAACTACACAGATGCACTACCCCGGTAACTGCCAAGGAGCCAACATTTTTTTATGGGGGGCCCTTTCTGGTTTCTTGCACAGGGGCCCTGAGGTTTCTAGTTACGCCTCTGATTGGAAAGATACTTATAGCTGGACTTTTAGCCTTTGTCTTGACGTTTCAGTCTCAAATCCATTCAGTTACATCACAGACCAAGGAAAGTGTGAGGATCCTTTGGTTGTAGAAGCCTCCAGCCCAGAATTCACATTATGGTAAATGCATTCCAAGGAATCGATTCGATTTTTATCAAACACAAACTCCAATTGTATTTATTTAGTATAAAGTAATGTCATCAGGTAATAAATAAATCTTCATAGATTCTTCATTACTGCTCGAGCTAAGCAGCACACTCCACACCTCCCACTCTTCTCTATACGCTGCAGTCCTCCGGGCTCCCAGCAGTCAATGCTCTCATGTCCCATCATGCACCGGGCTGGCCTCTCTCGTCTCGTTGGTGGTCGGAGTGCTGAGTGTGGAAAGATGGCGGCGGAACGGCAGGCTGGTGCCGGGACGGAGGAGAATAAGGAGAATAAGCGGCCGCCGGCGGGGAAGGCTGGGGCACTGGGAGACACTGTGGGCCTGGAGAGTATCCTGACACCGGGGAGAGGCTAGGGCCGGTCCCGGGGGGGACACACAGCGCAGCCGGCCTGAGAGCTGACGTGTCAGTCAGGGGAGAGGAAGGATGGGAGGTGAGGGGTCCCGGGCGATCTCCGGCCTTCTACTGACACGCAGGAGCAGAGGAAGACTGGGGGGCCCCGGCACCTGGCGGGGGGAGGGAATGAGAGCTGATGGACCCCAACATCTGGCAGATTCTGGGGTTGTGGAGGAGGAGAGGCATGGGAGCCGATGGGCCCCAATATCTCTGAATGTGCGGGAGAGGAGGGCACATAAGCTGATGGAGTCCAATATATTGCAAATCTGGGGTAGAGGGGGGCATGAGACCTAAGGGCCAACATCTGAATGATCCCTGGGGTTATGGGGGTCAAGGAGGGCATGGGTCCTTAGGGCCCAACATCTAATTGATCCCTTGGGTTAATGGGGAAGAGAAAGACATGGAATCTAAGGGTCCCCACATCTGATTGATCCCTGGAGTTAAGGGGGCATGAGGGCCCAACATCTGACAGATACTTCAAATAATGGGGTGAAGAGAGCAAGACACCCAAAGGCTTCCACAGCTGAGAGTTTCCTAGGTTAATAGGGGAGAGGGCCCCAACATCTGAAAGTGCCCTAGGTTTATGGCGGAAAGGAGGGCATGGGACCTGAGGGCCCAACATCTGAAAGTGCCCCAGGTTGATGGCGGAGAGGAGGGCATGGGACCTGAGGGCCCAACATATGTACCTCTCCCTGCTGACATACTGGGAGTTATGGAGGTTGAGGGGCTCCTATATTTGAACGATCTGATGTCAAAGGGGTTTGGAGGGCATGAGAACTGAGGGGTTCCAGCATCTCTCATATCGATGGCCCTTTGCTAACTTTCAGGGGCATATGGGAACTGAGGGGGCCCAACATCTAGCAGTTATGTGGCTCTCATGGTGTGTTTCACATGGAAGTCATAAGGCTTCTGAGCTTTGGACAGGTTGCATAGACCTTTTTGAAGATTTGCATTATGGGCTGCAGTGCTGCAAGAGCTTTTAAGTCAGCAGCAGTCTGGAGGTGGCCGTGGCTCTTAGGTGACAGCAGGAGTTGTATAGCTATGCTTTAATATTCTTTATGTCTTGAAATTATGATTTCATAATATCTGGCATTTCATGTAAGCACATGAGCGAGGGTTATAGTTTCTACCCCCTTGTTATTTCCTTAACTCAATGTACAGTCCTTCAGATTATTAAGGAATCCCAGCAGCAGCATGGCATGCGACATGGAGACTTCCAGAGATACAGGTGAGGCCAATGTAGATGTACTGTGATCTCTGTGTAAAATAATATGGTGTATGGGATTTCTTCCCCTTTTTCATTGTTTCTTAAAATGTATGTCGGTGCAAAATTTCTTTAAAGAGTATGCTGTACATCTCTGCAAAATACACATATTTGTCCATGTTTATCCCTTTTAAAGACCCTGCGCGCAAAGTACACACACAGCATTTATGTGGACCTAGTGGTGTAAGCCCTGGCAAATTGACTTTTGCTACTGATTCTTTCTTTAAAGGAGAACTATGAGGTGAGTGAAAATCACTCATCCTCATAGTTCGAGCTGATGTGTGACCATGAAACTGTCATAGGTCGGCTCAATAGATCGGGAAGTGAGCGAACGCATACCGTCGCTCGCTCACTTCTCGATCCTGTCCCTGCAGAGAGCCGTGACTGTCAGTTACGGCTCCCCGCTCCGATCCTCCAGCGCTGACTGGAGAAACGGATGGGGAAGGGGTTGGGTTTAGCTGACTCTGCCTCTAGATAGGCAGAGCCAGATGTCACTCACGCAGCTGGGTGGATCTCGACAGTAATGTTGGGATCCATCCCGGCTGCAGCGGTCTCAGTATACCGCAAGCTGTAGCTTGCTCTATACTGAGCTTTTGGTCACGGGAGGACGCTAGCATATGTCGTCTGGTGACCCTTAGGAGAACTATCGGGAAAAACACACCCCATAGTTCTATTTTAACTCCACAACATAGGGACTCAGTGTTTTGTAGTCCAAAATAAGAACTGAAAAAAACTATTTAGACTCCTTGAGATAACATAAGTGTGCACAGGACAGCTCTGAATTTTTGCATGATCAACAGGTATTGTTTGCACTTATTAAACAGATAAAACAAACACTTTGGTTAATGTGATCCCAGCATTGATTGGCTGTATTTTTTTTTTCTTTTTAAAGAATAGCCCTAATAAGCGCCCTACATTGCTTTTACTTGACATTATAAAGCAAATTCAGGGGGTAGAAAATGGCCTTCACAGGGTGTTTTGGAAAACAGCCAGCATTGTTCAGAAATGTTGTCAAACATTGATTTCCTAACCGTGTGGGAGCATTTGTATATCACTATCCCACAATGGAAGGCCATGTGTCTGGTGTCTGTATCATATACATATGAGTGGTGTTATCCCACCACCATTACCATGCAGTCCCATCCTTGTTTATGTAAAATATAACATTGTGTTTATGTAGTCCTCTAAAACTGGACATTTCTGTGAACATAATCTCATGACAGGTTGACATATAGGCAGAATGTCGAAAGTTTTCATTCTTGTATCCTGAAAGAGTAATAGCAGCAAGAAGTGAATTTGAATGCAAAGAAATTAGCGTTGGCCTGTTCCTGAAGAGAACGTAAAGCCCTATATTCTATCATCAAAAGAATGTTGTTCCGTGTATTTTTGACAAGTGTATCTTGAACTTGGACTTAAGGAAAGTTTCCCTCTTTGTTTCTCAGAGGCTATTGCTCCCGTCGCTTAAGACGTCTAAGGAAAACACTCAATTTTAAGATGGGAAACCGACACAAGTTCACGGGAAAGAAAATCACTGTGGAGATGCTTTCTGATAACAGGTAATTTCATTGACATTCTTAGAACTCTTCTGAAGATATTAATGCTGAAAGCTTAAGTTTGCTTAAGAAGTGCATTGCTGAAAAATCTCCACATAAAGTGATTTACTTTTGCAGGTATCTGCTAATCATCTTGATGGATGCTGAAAGAGCCTGGAGCTATGCCATGCAGCTTAAAATGGAAGCCAACACAGAGCCTCGCAAGCGCTTCCATTTGCTGTCCCGATTGCGGAAGGCTGTCAAACACGGTGAGGAGCTGGAACGGCTCTGTGATAGTGATCGCGTGGATGCAAAGACAAAGTTGGAGGCTCAGGTACTACTATTCATTATTGTGGTGACATATGAAAAAAATATTGAGGGACAAAGATAGAGATATATGGATGTCCTTTTAAATGAGACTCTATCCACAACTTTAAAGCATTTGCCGGTAAAAGCACAGAGAAATCAGGTCTTTTAAATACTTGCAGTTTTGTTCTCTTCGTAACCAATTTTTTTTCACTTGCTTCAGCAAGTCGATTCTCTAGCTCGTCCCCCTCCTTCCTTACATGTCATAGGCCTTTCCTCTTTTGGTATTGTCTAATGACTCTTTGTGCTTGCGGAGCTCCCGCACCCCCTACTATCACCTCCCTACATAAGCTTTTATGTAGGAGCTGGACGAGGAGTGAAGGGGAATACTGTAGAGTAGGGGTGCCCACAATTTTTTGTGACCAGATCTACTTTTCAAATGATGAGATTTACCAATAAAAAAAACACCTGTGTTCGCAACACAAACACATTAAAATGCTTATGGGAAAGGCACAGAGAACTGAGATTAGTATTGTTACTGCAGAGCTGTGTGTTAGTGAGCCAGAGGAGAAACATAACTCAGTCAGGTAAGAGTAAGCATTATACATGGGTGTGCATGCCTTGGTTAAGAAGTTAAGTTGCCAGAAGTAAATACCTCCTTCCTGGCTCCTCAGGCGTGCTGGTATGTCCGGGGTCGGGTGGACCAAATATGTCCGTCGCTACGAGCGCTGAGGGCTGGGCCAAATGAATTGGATGCTGCAGGCGGGGAGGGGCGGTCACATTGTGCCCGATGCTGCAGGCTCAGATTGGAGGGGCCAAATCTGTATGACACTGCGGGCACGGAGGGGTGGCACAAATGTATTGGACGCTGCAGGAAGGGGAGAGACGAATGTGTCTGACACTTAAGGCTGCGCTAGCACACCGGGAGGGAGCTCGCAATCTTCCATCTTTAGCTTTGAGAACGACTGGTATATCACAATCGACCTTATGGGCACCCCTGCTGTAGAGTGTCATTTGAGTGCCATCTCTAAATCTGCTGACATCCCATCGAAGATGACAGCGCCCAGCTCCAGAAGTCTCTAGGCTTTTAGATGTCTACACAAGGGAGGCTTTTATAGGTAAATACATTCAGAATGATTGTTGTTAAAATGAATAGTCTGGGAACCTTTCTGATTTTTTTATTTTAATCTGCAGCCTGGTTAATTCAAAATGTTTAGGTTACCACCTTCTTTAAAGCTTGTGTTTGATTGCTTTCCTTCCTGTAGGCATACAGTGCCTATCTCAATGGCATGGTGCAGTTTGAGCAACAGCAATGGGAAGAAGCAATGAAAGCTTTCAACAAATGCAAGTAAGTATGTGTTGTGTTTTAAAGGTTTGTGTATGTGTAATTATGTCATGTTTGTGTATAAAAATCAAAGTGTTTTAATGCAATTGTCCCCTTTGTCTGTAACCTTGTTTGGTTTATCTTAGGACGATCTATGAAAAGCTGGCCAGTGCTTTCACTGATGAGCAAGCTGTACTGTATAACCAAAGAGTGGACGAGATCTCACCCAACATCCGTTATTGTGCCTACAATATTGGTAATGAGTCTTCTTATGTGATGTATTGTAAAGCGTATTATGTTGCTTCTGGTGGTTTTCTTCGGACCTGGCAGTCACAGATTTTCTGTTTCCAAATGGCTAATCAACAAACTCTATCCATGTCGTGACTGCGGACTTTACCACCTAGTGTTCCACTAGTCATGCAGGCACATATTCTCCAGTTTAAAAGAAAACAGATTGTGGTCATTACCAAGGCTGCTAGCACTTCCCGTTTCTAGTTTGCCGTGGACATGACCAAAAAGTAAAACTTCAGCAGGTCCTAATGGATGCTGTGTATATACAGCAGCGGGCTTTCTGTAGGACAAACTCTTTGGAGATGTATAAAGACTTAATTTAAAATGTTTTTATTTTTTTAATTGTAACCCTTATTTTGTTTTTTTTCCCCTGTCTAAAAAAAACAAAACGGATTACGTTTTCAGTATGTTAATAGATTTCAGGACGGAATACACAGAACTAGTCATGGTGGCAACTGAACCCAGAACTTGAGAGTTGCAACTCTTCTATAGTAATAGGGTGCAAGACCATTCAGCTATCCTAAAGTGAACCTTTACACTCAAAAATCAAATTTGACCAATGCATCCCTCTATGTATGATGATTAATAATCAGGTGTAAAATACTGTTGATAATGAAATACTTCCACTTGCAGAGCATTCACTTCCTGCTTTGAAAGTGCAAATTACTTCAGTTTGGCAAAGTAATGCACACTATTATTGCTTTGTGCAGAGCATTGGTGTGAAACCTCATTTGTAATCTCAGGAGATCTCAGGGAAAGGCATTTTCTCCCCCTGAGATGATGTGCATGGTCACATGTGCCAGAAATTAAGGAAGTAAAAGGAAAGCTATTAATCTGCTCTTAGTAAACATGGCCACTATCAGAAGACTGGGGAAGAAAAGAGAAATAAGGAATGCGAAGAATACAAAGCCGGCAATTATCTAGAAGTATGTGGTTGTAGATTTTGTCATTACTAAACATTTCTAAAGGTGTGTTGGTTGTTATTTTAAAGATATGAGTAAAGGTCCGCTTTAACCACGTCAGTACCAGCCTTTATTACAGGTCATTTTTCAGTTTTGAGCGCTGTGATACTTTGGCAGTTACTCTGTCTTGTAACACTGCACCCAAATTAATTTGACTACATATGGGAACAAAACCTACATTTTTGAATGCCTGCGGTGTTTAAGAACGGCACAGCATAAATGGGTGTTTACCCCTTCGCTGTTCATAAACACACGGCGGTAGAGAAGTGGTTACCTAACACATATTTGTGTTTGGAATAGCCAACCACAGCAATGGACTAGTTCCTAGCCGTCTGGATACATTAATGCTTATCTAAATGTTCTTTTTTTTCCTTCTAGGGGATAAGACGGCTATGGACGAGTTAATGCAAATGAGACTTCGTACTGGAGGTGCAGAAGGCATGTTAGCTGAAAAGCTGGAGGTATGTATTTTTTTATGTCCATTCTTATTGCCTTCTCCTGACTATCCAAAGCAGAAACAACAATTTGGACCAATGTTTAAAGGAGAACTATGGGGTCAGTGTTTTTCCCCATAGTTCTCCTTAGGGTAACGGGAGGACACAAACTAGCGTCCTCCCGTTACCCTAAGCTCAGCATACCGCAAGCTACTGCTCGCGGTATACTGAGACGCCGGAGCGGATCCCGACTTAGATGACGGGATCCGCCCAGCTGCGTGAGTGACAGCTGGCTCTGCCTATCTAGAGGCAGAGCCAGCTGTACGCGCCCCCTATCCCGTCCGTTCCGCCAGTCAGCGCGGGCAGATCGGAGCGGGGAGAGGGGAATCCAGCCCCTCCCCCTGTCACGGCAGAGAGCCGTGACAGGATCGAGAGGCGAGCGAACCCGGTAAGTGTTCGCTCACCTCCCGATCTACTGAGCCGACCTGTGACAGTCTCATTGTCACAGGTCGGCTAGAACTATGAGGTGAGTGAAAAGCACTCACCTCATACTTCTCCTTTTTTAAAAGCTTTAAATCAGTTGCTCAAGGCTTTTACTACTTTGATACAGACACTAATAAAGTGTCACATAACACTTCATTTGTGTCAAAGCCTTTCTGTACCCTGTGCAGCAACAGGCTGAGTATGTTGAGCTCATTACTCCATATATGATGCTATCTGAAGTGGGCAACATATGCCCGTATAAGCGTGTTGTTGTAACATATTTTGGCTTAGAATGCCACATAAAAATGCATTTATAAATGGAGGGAAGAAACTAATCCTGGCCCAAAAATACTTTTGTCAGGGCGAAATAAAAAAAAACATTCAGTACATTCATGCACAGTTCCCCTTGGTTTTTTTTTCCCTCGCAAGGGCCTGCAAGTACAGAAATATACCTGTTGATCTACCAGAAATCCACTGAGCTCTTAACTTCCTGTTTGGGAGGTAATTTTGCTGCAGTAAATTCCCAACCGATGTTATCTCTGCCTGCTGGATTCACTAACTCCTCCTATCCTCACCCTTTCTTACATGCACTCATGATTTATTTCCCAGCAAACAAAAATGCTGCTGCTGGACTCCCACAAACCTGCCAACACAGTGTGTAGTGAAAGGACTCTTCAGAGATGTAGTTCTGGGGGCGTAACTACATCAATTGTAACTAAACTCCCACCAGCTGCCTTTGCAAGAATTTTACAAGCCTAATGATGTCACAGGTAGTAATGTTTCTCACTACAAGAATAAGATAAATAAAAATACTGGAACATCATATAGAGGGGATAGGGAGGTTTTGGTGTAAATTTGAGTATGCCCTGGACATACACTTTGAAGCTCTTAATTGCATAAGTTGTATCCATGTAGATTGACTGCATTGTGGATCTTTACTGTATCTGATTGTGTGCACATTTCCCAAACAGGCCTTGATCAGCCAGACAAGGGCAAAACAGGCAGCTACCATGAGTGAGGTGGAGTGGAGAGGACGCACTATTCCTGTTAAAATTGATAAAGTGAGGATTTTCCTCCTTGGACTATCGGACACCGAAGCTGCAATTGCTCAGGTAAAACATAAAGTGTGGTATCTTTTTGCTGCTATTTGCTTTGCTTTTGTAAGGTTACTGCTGAGTTACTTGGGCGTATTAGATGCTTTTACTGTATAGTTGCATTTGTTTGGAGTAGGGATGTCCCGATACCATTTTTTTGTACTCGCCGATACCAATACTTTTTTTTTTGTGTCTGACACGTGACAGGTTTTCTAAAACAGTACAGGCTAATGATTTTAGGACAGTGATGGAGCGCCAGATGCGACTTCGGTAGTTCTGCCACTGACGCCAAGCTGTAGAGGGACTACAAATCCCAGCAATACATTCTAGCTGGTGGTATTCTGCAATCTTGTATAAAGGACTGCAAATCCCAGCAATACATAATACAGCAATGCAGAATACCACCAGCTTTGGGGGACTACAAATCCCAGCGATGCAGAATACTAGGGATATAACGATACCAAGTATTTGGGCGAGTACACGTATTTGCCCAAATGCTCCGATGCCCGAACTTCTGGTCAGGAAGATTTCCTCTGATCGGCAGCGCCATAGGGGAACATTGAGCCGGCTTCCCGTGCGAAGAGGAAGCTGGGTAGCGAGTAATGACCCGCCTCCCAGCTTCCTGATTGGCCGGGAAACCATCTTTGTAGCCAATCAGGAAGCTAGGAGGCGGGTTATTACTTCCTGATTGACTGAGAAGCCGACTCGATGCTGATTGGCTGTAAAGCCAGTTTTCCGGCCAAGCAGGTTAGACAACATGGAGCCAGCTTCTCGGGCAATCAGATTGCCCGGGAAGCTGGCTCCATGGCAGCGGAAGCACCGAAAGCAAAGTATCTGTACACGATACCGAAAAACCGGTATCGGTGCAACCCTACAGAATACCACCAGGTAGAGACGACTACAAATCCCAGCAGATACAGCGATGCAGAATACCATCAGCTATAGAGGACTACAAATCCCAACAATGCATTATACAGCAATGCATAATACCATCAGCTATAGAGGACTACAAATCCCAGCAAAACATTATACAACAAAGCAGAATACCCCCAGCTAGAGAGGACTATAAATCTCAGCAATACATTATACAGCAATGCAGAATAATAGCTATAGAGGACTACAAATCCCAGCACAACATTATACAACAATGCAGAATACCACCAGCTAGAGAGGACTACAAATCCCAGCAAAACGTACGACAATGCCGAATACCACCAGCTAGAGAGGACTACAAATCCCAGCAAAACGTACGACAATGCCGAATACCACCAGCTAGAGAGGACTACAAATCCCAGCAAAACGTACGTCAATGCAGAAGACCACCAGCTAGAGAGGACCACAAATTCCAGCAAAACATTGTTCAGCAATGCAGAAAAATATATAAAGCTAAATACTCTTGTGTTGCTCACCAGGACTGTGCACGGTGTCTCACCAGGGCTGTGCGCAGTCCTCACTGGTTACTGGAGCAAATCCTGGAGGGTCTTAAAGAATATCGGTCATAAAAGTAGTTTTAATACTTCTCTTTTTTTTATTTTTGGGCGACCCTGCAACCTGCCTCATAAAGTAAAGAGCAATTACAAGAGGTTTCTGAGATTGTCACCTCCAGTTCACCTCTAGAGGGGGCTAGAGGAAACACAAGCCATGGACTTGACAAACTGCATTGGGATGAAAGGTTGTCATCTACTGGTCAGCTGCTAAGATGGTGCTTTCATGGCGTAGACCTTTTATGCAGTGAGTGAGTGATTGGTATGGCATGGGTAGATTTTTTGTTCTGACATTCCCCCCCCATATGTGATTATATTCAGGGTTAAGCTCTGAATTTCCATTTTCTCAGTGACATTAAAGTCAAAAACATTTCT